AGAGAGAGAGAGAGAGAGAGATGATTGCATGGTTTCTTAGACACTCCAAGAATGGTTTAGCTCTAAGATCCCACACCATGGAATTTGGTTCTTTAAAATATGCATATTAAGTAGCTTCTTCAGAGTGGATACATTGACAAACAAATGTTTAATATCTATACTGTACTGTGTTTTAGTTGAAAACTAAACCAAAGGAATCTTTCAACAGTGAATTAACACCTCTGGGCAAACATGCATAAGATTGTGTTGCTGGTCACCCAGGCCAGGAGTCTGAGGTATAAATGAACTGCCTTATCCTGTGGTCAACTAGTCCTCTAGTGTGCATTTTGATGGCAGCTCCCCAGGACAGAAATGTACAATCCCTCTCCTGAACTTCCTTCCCAGCAACCAGTATTTCAAGGGCACATTTGCTCACGGATAGTTCTGGACAATAGCTTCTACCAGGGGCCATGCTGAGTGGGGCTGATGTGAACTGAAGGTCAAAACATCTGAAAGACGAAAGGTAAGTTCAAGAATTGGTCTCTTCTCTCTGTAAAGCCATCTAAGCCACTGACAACAAGACTTAATATGCCAAAGTAAGGCTTAATCATTAAATTAAGCAGGGCCTGCATCCTACTCAGGTTCTGATGAGCAGAAGGCAGTATGGTAAGATCACAACACTTGTGCAAGTACTCCTGTTGCAGAAGAGATCAGAATGAAGAAAACCAATACTCCAGTTGAGCAATGGCAATCCCTGAGCAATCCTTGTACAAGTGGAACAATTCTGCATCAGTAAACCAGTAGGACTTTCCATTCAGCAAAAACTCAGTAAGACACTGAACTAGATCCTCATTTAAATAGGACTTTGCTAAAGCAGAATTATCAGAGAAGCTTCTCTTTGAACCCATTTAGATGTAACATTCCTAGTTTAATAAAGCTTGAGAAATATAACTGTCTGCCTATCTGACTATCCTCTGACAGCATAGGGGACCTCAACACTTAGACCATAATTAAATTAAATTAACTAGGGATTAAGACCTCAGTGAATTCCCTATCAAGAGCTGAGATGGGAGGGACTAATGACAGTGCTATATCTATCTCCAAACCAAACCCAACTTAATCCAACCCAACCAGAGGCAAGGGGTTTACACACGTTCACGCTGTGCCAAAGACAAATTTAACAAGAGAACGGAAATTACAGATACATTCAATACAGATACATTTGTTCACAATTGTGACAAAAGTAGTATGAACCACACTACTCTCTCTCTCTCTATTTAAAAAAAGGATTGGAAAGGTATGTGAAAATATTGTCTATACTTGTTATATTTAAGTATATCATATGAACAACAGAGAACGCATGGATTCCATAGGACCCAGTCCTTAAATGTGGGACAAATGTCAATGTGGATGACCTCAACATCTTCCTTTCATATCATCTTGTGTTCGGCTTAGGTATTCTTACCAACCTATTTGTCACTTCTGAATATGCTACAAGGAGGTTAAAAGAAAAGATAGTCCTTGACTGAAGAATGCCTCACAATCTGTGACATTTGCTACAAAAGTGAAAAGTAAGAGGAAAGCAAGCAAATTCAGAAACCAATTAAAAGAACACAGTTCTTTTTCATACTAGCTTATCAGTTTCTAAATAGCCCAGTTTCTAAATACTGCTGCAGATTCCAATGTCATTCACTGCATGTTGGCATAACTCCATTATTTATTTTGTGACTACATTGAGTTGACCCAAGTCAACTTGCTGCTTGATGGCAGCCTGTTCTTTTGGAAGAATAGTCAAATAGCTTTCTGTATTGGATGAGAAACCATAACCATGATTAGTTTGCCTCATCTGGGTCTTAGCTACCCAGGTTCTGTACTAGACAAAAATGGCTAACCTATATCAAAGGATATAAAAATAAGGAAAGAAAACTAGCCTCACGTGGAGAATGCCTAAAGAGAATGTCCAAAATGTGACACAGGCATATAAGAAATAGATTAAGTGATTAGTTTGTCTGGACCATGTGTAGAAAAATTAATCATTCAATCTCACATTCTGGACATTCTCTTCAGATTATGTCTTGAAGCAAGGTTTTTTTGTGACAGAAAAGTAAGCAGATTTGCCACTTTTATGACTCTGTCATTCTTGTTTCCTGTGACTGTACAGTATAAATATTTTTGTCCCATTACATTTACAGTGATATTCGTTTGTTTCTCCATGGCTTTTACAATAGTCAATATATATTCTTGAAGCTTTGTATTTACAGCTTTTTCTTCTTCGTAAGTACTATAATGGCATGTGTTGATGACTTAAAAGTTGTAACAACATGACACAGATTTCCAGCTGATGTAAACAATTAAATGAAGGTTAACTGAAAATCGCATTTATTTGCCAACCAAATATAATTTTTTATCACAGCCTATTACATATTGCTGCAGATTCCAATGTCATTCACATAGACTATTTAAGTCTCAAAGAATTACATGTCATTGTCTATTCTTGTCTACTCACAAAAGTCCTGTTGTCAGAGCTGGCTCTTATCCTAAATGCTCTTATAAGTCATAACTGTTGTTAGAGACAACTACACATGTCTAACAGGAAGAAGTATTTTTCTCAATTCAGGGATGTACTAATGTTGCTATTATGTCAAACCACTTCAAAGGGATGGCTCTCTTCCCAGGATAGATTGGCATGAGTCTCATCCTGCCAAGTAACACATGTTTAGATTTAACCATGGATTGGTTACAAAGGTGTAGAAATGGCTTTGCCAGCATGAGACCTCCCAAAACAAGGGAAAATATCTCAGAACTCTTAACATTTTTTCCAGAATGCAATCCTGAAAAAAGCACTAAGCTTTCCTTAGAAACAATAACTTTTCTAGGCTAGGTCAGAGTAAGCCAGGTTGTGCACTGGATTCATTATTAAATGAAAATACGAGGGTAGCAAGGTTGCTTCACTATTTAGCAGTGAACTACAGATGACAAATTTCATACATGAGGGGTACACAACATATACCTTCCCTGAGGCAATCTTATGCCGCCTCAGCAGACATAGGGTCCTCAGTTTCCCGGAATAATTTTTATAATCTTTTTTCTTTCTTTCTTTCTTTTAAAGTCTCCGTTGTCCTTCATAGAGTGCATGGGGCCAGTTTTATCACATTTTGAGGTCCTCCCACTACCCTTCCCATATCCTCCCAAAATTGTAATTAAAAATATATTTTGAGGGCCTACTAGAAGATGCAAGGGTTGGCGAGGACTTTAAAACATAAAAAAAATGTTTTTAAACATTTCAGAAAAGAGGATAACCCATCTCCCGGTTAACTTTAGGGGTGAAAAACCCAATAAAATATGCAAATTACTTAACATTTGGTCAAACACCTTCCCCCTTGGAAGTGTATCCCTTGGGCAAATCTGAAAAAATGGTCCTTGGAAATGCTGAGATCAACAAGTTCTGCCATGCAGGAATGCAATAAGACATCCCTATGTGACACTGTGTTCAGTGTTTGTTTGATTCATGTCTCTACAAATTCCAGGAATTTATACAGCCACTGTGTTCTGCCACAGAACATAAGATTCTAGCAGTTTACTGCAAAATATGACCACACACAAAATTCAGATAAAAAGGCAGAGTCTCACCCATGTAAATATTCCAGTGTTTGCCACAGAACTCTACTGAGTTTTTTTCACCACAACCAGATTACTCCTCTGACAACCTGAACACTGAAGGGCTTCAGTGTAAGTGCACCTGGACTTCACATCCCATAATCTTACCTCAACAGGCTGTGTATCCCCCAGAACAAAGAGGTGCATCATATTCACATCTGGGTCTTTCTTGAAAATATTGGGCTTAGCGTGATGCTGGAAGTGCCGATGATTCCACCAATTTGCTGAGGCACCCTGTAGAAGGAAGTGGAAGTCTCTGGGCAACTTGGATTTCTTTCATATCGCAAAAGCCATTCATGCACACAGTATGGGAATGAAGCACGATAACTCTTTGTGGGAACTAACTGAAAGAGCCATGAACGTTCCTTCTACGTCTTCACTGAAGGACACTGACCACAGCCCTGTTCAGTTATCTCTGTCTACCACCCCTTTCTCTACCACGTGTTTGCTGAATCGCAGTCAGAAAAAGGGACATCAAACGGGGCATGCAGGTGACAAGCAGCTGGTCTCTCAGGTTCTCTCAACATAGCGAAAAGAGTCAGATGGGCAATAATTTGGGAGCAGCACATCTCTATGCCTATGCCTGTTTTAACTTAACTGAAGAATTTTTTGTGAGATGCGATCAAATTACCTCTTTGGAATACAAATGATTCATAATAGTAAGCCCCCAGGAAATAGCATATAAGAGGGCTCCTGCTGTGACTCTATACTGGTAGGCAGGCCTTAATGGCTGAGCTACTCGGCTTGTCTTTTCCTCTTTCTTGCCCTTCTGCCTCCCCTCACTCTATCATTTTGTTGCAGCTATCTGCTGCCTCCTCTTGTCTTTCTCCTCAGCTGTTTCCTTTTCTGTATGTTCCTTGCTCCAACCTCCCTCTCCTCTCAGGTGCTCACCTTTCCCTGACACCAACAATCATTTTTGTTTTGAAAATGCACAATTCAGGGCTCATCCCCACAGTGGCATTGTCTCCAGCCATGCTGAAATTCTCCCAGGTCACCTGATATTTTTCTGCTACAAATCTGAGGTATCCAAGCACTGGCATCCACAAATAGAGAAGGCACTTATGCTGGGTGTACTGGGATGCACTGGTTTATCCTGGTATTCCTTGTACACACACATAGTAATCTTAGAACTGCAGAGCTGGAAAGGACCTATGGATCTTCTAGCCCAGGCCATGTCAGGGAGGCACAGTGGGGAATCGAACTCCCTTAGGCTCCACAGCCAGATACCTAAAACACTGAGCTAGCCATCTGGAAGTCCTCCCTGATGCCTGCCTGCCTCCCTAAACAGATTACCCTCCCCTTTTGCCTGTCTTTTCCACCTATTCCAGTCTGTTTCCTTTTGCCCTGCTTTGACTTTGCTAATGCTATTTTCTGCCCTGTGTTGTGTGGACACCAGAATGTAGTATTAGTACTGTGGGTACAATGAGAATGGAACAAATGCTCAGTGTGGACAGGAAGAGCAACCACTCTTCTTTCTCTCCATTCCACAGCCTACCTACTTGGTGCACCTCAAATCCCAAGATCCTTAAGAGCTGGTACACACCCTGCCCTCGGGTTAAACGTTAAGCATGTACTTAACTCCTCAGAAAACTGTCCTACCAGGTCAATGCTTGTTGCCCTGTATTTGAATTGGACAGAAGGAGACAATAAAAACTGTGAAAGGATGACTAGGGAACTAAATACAATACTTAGTGGGCTCCTTAAAACCCTGTGGTTCTTCTTTATGAGATCTGGCATGCAGTTTTGCTCCCATGCAAAAGTGCAGTGCCAGGGTAGGATTCCCAATTTATGGTATAAAAAAAGCCACACATAGGCAGTTTGCTCTCGGTGCTGCTCCAGACTGCTTCCAAGAACTTGAGTCAGACAGAGAGTCTTCCTTCACAAAGAGGTCTTCAGCCCAGGCCATGATTCTGGCAGGCTGTTACAATGGCTCGCTCACATACCCACTACATCGGCTGCCCCCATAGAGAAGTAGAAAAAGCCACTGCTTGGAGAAAATGATGAGGGCCTTGTTGAGCAACTGGCATCCAGAGAGCAGCCAGCCTGAGGAAGCTTGTCCTTTTGATAGGACAGAGAAAAGTTGCTCTTGGGTCCCTTGGCAGCCCATGGTCAGTGCCTCTGAGTGATGATCACAAGCAGGACAATTGAAATATGGGGGAAATGTCAGAGATCCACCAGAAATGACCTTCACTGGCATGTTCATTTTATCAGTTGATGCTAGTGCTGACTGTTAATTCTTCTGCTCTCGGGCACTGAACATGAAACTTTACATCGAGCAACCAAAGTCATTATTTTTTCTTCCGCTTATGTCACACTGTCAGAAAAAAACTTCATTTATCTGATTTCTGTGTGCAAGACTGTTGCTAAACACACAGATGCATTTTTTAAAAAAGGAAGATTTAGGATTAGATTGTATTAGATTTACCAATTGGATTAAGAGTATTTCCAGTTCCTAGCAGGAATGGCTTATGACCAACTGGTGAGACCTGCTGAATTCCTGCCTGCTAGACACAGAGTTCCTATTAGATAAAAAGTGATGGCTGTCTTGGTTTCTGCCATATATTTCTTATCTATCAATGGCTTCCTCCTATGAGACTGAAGATATATACTGACCAGTCTTGAACTCTTATCCCCCTTGCCTAGACTCAGCCTGCTCCTCTCAAATCCCCTGGACTGAAGTAGAATAACACACTTCTGATTTCCTAATGCATTCCTCAATACATAACATTTCCTAATTTGCTATTTCAGCAGTTTAGTGAAGCCAACAGAGAGATTTACTGCAGATTACAAATTATTGCTCCCGAAAAAGGTAACAAATTGTTCAGGTCAAAACACATTGGGCAGGGGGTAAAGTGAAATAATTCTACATTTTTATACATCTTATGAAATATGAAATAAATACAGTAGGACAAATTGTATTTGTCTTCAGTGTGGAAGGGATTGTCACTCTCAAATTGGCTTCCTCAGCTACACTAGACACTGTTCCAAGTCCTCAATTCAGAGGATGTTACCATAGTCTCTTGAGACTGAAGAATGCCTAATCTACATCAGACTAAACTACATTTTTTAAGTATTTTTTTCCTTTTTTTATAAATACAAAATAAACCTACTGCTACACAAAAAACCCTATATAAAATACAAAACAATGCAATACAATAAAATACAATTACCCATGTGCACCCATCACCTTCAGGACTAGCATTACACTTCATTCCATCCATTTTCCCTCCAAAATTTCATTGTTTCTTCCCTCGGTGTAAACCCCCTCCCTCTCCGAAATACATGTTCCAAAAATACATTCCATATTTTTTTAAAAATCATTATTTTCCATTTTCCATTTCCTGGTTTTATTCTGTATTTTTAACAGCAAAACAGCAAGGAGATGTATTTTTTGTATTTATGTTTGAAGACTGAGATATGACCACATAAAATTCCAGGAAACATTTCCTGGTTTTATTCTGCATTTTTAACAGCAAAACAGCAAGGAGATGTTCAGCTATGCTCTAGGAAAGAGACGGCACACCATTGCCTCCTTAATGAGAACGGGCCTTACCTTCAAGTGACCAATCACAAACTTATGGGCTACATGGTTCCATGACGACTTCTTAAATACAGAGAGATGTCCAAAGTCGTGTTGCAGCCATCCGGCCTGAGCCTACAGAGGAAAGAAAATGCTCAAAATATCAAGAAAAGAGAGACGTTGGCCAAAAGTCCCATTGCTGGCACAGCGTAAATGGTGTAACTTTTGGCATTACTTTTGCTGCAAATTACAGAATCACTGTAATCATCATTCATCTGATATGTATCAAGCTGTGCAAGTAAACTCACAACAAATAATGCCTACACTGACTTCCTAACTTACACCAATTCAACACCAACTTTAACAAAGGAAATAAATTCACTGCACAAATGAACTAGGAAGTTGGTAGTGGATCATTCAATATCTATGGAATAAAGCTTCACCTGAGAGGTTGCAAGGATGATGGAAAGGATGAAGGTTATGCTCCAACTTGTACCGCAATATGATACTAGTAACCAAGCCAGTGCCTCCATCACAAGTATATGACCCAAGTAAAGGGAAAAAAATACAGGACTGGCTTTGAATAAGTTCATGTCTTCTGCTGTCTTCCTCAGGGCCCGGAAATCATCCACCAATTGGGCCTGCAAGGAAGAAACACAAGGTGCTGAAAGAACTCCGGATGATGACACCAAAACAACTTGGGTACACTGGCATTCTTTGGATTGCATCTTTTATCTCCAACCTTCCAAGGTTGGCAAAATGTCCCTTGTGTAATTATACTGTGTCTCTTTTACTCACAAAATCTTCATATCAGAATACAAACAAAAACATGTTTGTTCATTACATAATTTAAAATATTTTAACTGATTAGATTCATTACTTTACTTAGCTTAACTGACTGGATATATAAATGCTCAGAACACTGACACTGCCGTTACCTAACTTGTCTCAGAACCCTAACATTGCTAAACTGTATCTAACAGAGACTGAACACTGACTGAGGTTTATAGGTAGGAAAAAGGGCCTAAGGTACACAGACAAATGGCTACTCTTAGTGACTGACATTCAACCGAAGTCCCTCCCATCAAAACCTCTTACAGGCGCAATAGGCAGGTTGCTATTCCAACAAATCTTTCTTGACTTTTTCAATACCGCAAGGTGCAACTGATGTGCAGTTTCATCTACTGTTCATGGTCTCTTTCAGCCAATAAGTTTACAACTCACACTTAAGCACTGGAGTTAAATATCTGGCTGTGGAGCCAAAGGCTGGGAATTCAATTTCATCTGCGCCTCCTGGGAGAAAAACCAGCCTACGTAGCCTTGAGCAAGCTACACAGTCCCAAGGTGCCCCAGAAGAGGGGGGGATGTGTAAACCAAACCACCTCTGAGTACTCTCTGCCTAGAGAACTCTGGGAAGGGTCACTATAAGTTGGAATTGACTCAATGGCACATCATCATCATCATCATCATCATCACATGAACATTCTAGCATAGTCCTCCTCTGTTTCCAGTTTTGTCTCCATTCTACCAGAGGAGGGTGGCAAGTCAGCATGGCAAAAGCCACTCCTATCCATGGGGATTCTTCATGGAGTCAGGGTCCTGACATGTGGAGAGAGACCTAAAGGACAGCAGAGACCCTTCCTCCTTCAGACTTGTCACCCTCCAAGTGATCCTGATATGTGGAGAGACCTAAAGGACAGCAGAGGCCCTCCTCCTTCAGACTTGTCACCCTCCAAGTGTAGGAAGGCAAAGAAGCTGGAAACAGAGGGTGAAGAGCCTGCAGTAAGAACAATAATACAATTATGTGCTGTCAAGTTGATTCTGATTTATGACAACCCATTCTCACTCACTTAAATAATGAATGAATAGTGCTCTGGTGTATACTTCCGGATGGCCAAAGCTTGAAACAATATTTGTTACAGTCACACTGCATTTTGATTTTATCTGCAAAAGATAAGCCACAAAAGAAACCCCAGAGAGACCCTTTAAGCTAAAGACATTTCCTCTTAATAGGGAAACCAAGTATTTGCCATAATGCAACCAGAACATTCCTGCAATCAGTCCACAAAATACCACAAGGGAAAGCAAAATAATTTTATAACTAAGATTTCTCTCAGTGAGGCTTTGAACATCTCTATTAAAAATCATCCTAATGGCCAAATACTGCTATTTGAATCATGGGAATATGCTATATCCTTTGCCTTAGACATGTAAAATCTGTAGGCACCAGGATGCTGGAAGCTCCAGTAACAACTAACCATTTATGGCTGAAGCATCTGGGAAAGCTCCTAGAGTAAGTAATAGGGCCTGCACTGAAACCAGTACAAGTGGCCATTTACACTTCTAATTCAAGATGCAGTCAGATGTCTTTTGGATCACCAGACGTCCCTTATGCATCTCTATATTCCTTCCTAATTGGCCTCAGGGGGGGGGAGGGGGCTACAGGAGATCATTAATGCCACTTAAACACGGGTAAGCTCCTGCCTCCCTGACAGGCGTTCCCTCTGGGACATCACACACCATGCTCTGCAGACTGCCATCCCTCAGGAAAGCAGCTAATGAGCTATGCAGCAGGCTAATGTTTGGGCAACGCGATCTGTCATGAAATCAGTCATCCAAGAACAAGGCGGCGCAGTAAAGGTTCCCTCTTGGAAGCAGCCAAGCAAGACAGAGGGCCTGAATAATTGATAATCGGAACATCTGGGAGTCCAGGAAATCTCGAGTGACATAGCAACAAGGGGCAGATGAGAAAGGTATGGCCATGTCTTGTTTCTGAAGCAATTTCCAATATTTCATCCCCCCAACTTCTCCCCCCCCCCTTTAATTTTGCTCACTAGTTTTTGAAGCTGTCCTCAAGATCAGGCTCAACATTTTGATCACATGATCAGAGATCCATGCATACTTTTCAATCAGGCAGGAGAATCAAGGCTTGGTGACCAGTTAAAACCACAAACTTTAAAATAATATAGTAAAATTGTTTAGATTCTGCCTTAATGCGTTAGCACAGCATCCTAAAAGATTTGTCTGAAACGCTGACTGTGTGTGCATGTACACAACCATGTGCACATCACACATTTCCGAACGGCTTGTTATGCAGACAAACTGTCAGCAACTTGAGGGCAGAATCCTGATAGGTACAACAGAATGCCATGATTTTTTTCTCTCTTTTATCCGGCTTGCTTAATCTGCATTCAATACCCTTTTGCTTTCTGCCCGTTTCCCTAACTGCAACTGCATAAAGTCTCTTCAGTATCAAAGCCTCACAGAATACTCTGTGACAAGGAAGCAGCTCAGCTGTTTTTGAAGAAGAGGATTCACAGGTGTATATACTGTATGTCCAAGAGTTTCTTTTTATGGCCTGTTTGACTTTTCAAATTGATCTTCAGTTCCCTCTCTGCTGTGTCTTTTTCCTCCGTCCTTCTTCTCTCACCTCCTTTCTTCTTTTCCCAGGTTCCCCTCCCTCCCTCTGTATTTGCTATTCCTTCACTTGCTTCAGAGTCATTTTGAATCTCCACATCAAAAGCACCAGAAAGCACACTCTAATCTCCATGCCTCTTGAGGTTTCGACTTTTCTAGTGCCCCCTTCAGGCTTGTATCATAGCAGCTAAATTTGTACCTGTGCCTCTGCTTCTGCTATTGAAATCAAACTCCTCCTTTGTCTGTCTTACTGTGGTAGATCCCTGGAAGACACAGATCTACTACTACCTAAACCTTAATCCAGTGATGAGCATTCTATACTTTCCTTCCCCTTAAATTTCCAAGACTTTCTTGATTTTGACACATCTAAGCTGGCTGGATAGTCCAGTAATTTAGGTATCTGGTTGCGGAGCCAGAGGTTGGGAGTTTGAAGAAGGGAATGATAAACCACTTCTGAGTATTCTCTACTTGGAAAACCCTGAAATGGGTCACCATAGTTGAGAAGTGACTTGACAGAACACCAGTTAGGAGGAGTGTGTTTCAGGTGAATTAGCAAAACTGGCCATGAATGCAGAAGCAGAGATACTGTATATGAATTGACAAAAATGATCAGACTAAATGCTCTATTTGCCAGTATCTACCATTTGTGGAACTTTAAACAGGTACACCAATGAAATGTACACCTGAAGTTCCCAGAACATAGTGCACACATACCTGCAGTAGCCAACCTGTATTTTGAACAGGGGTGAGCTGTAGAAAATATAGTTTGGCTATTACAGGTATGTACACCACAAATGAAAAGAAAGCAGGCTGTCTCATAGGTAATTCACTGGATCTACAGATGAAGTTCCTTCTACTCACATTCTTGCCTCTGTCTTGGCTAGGTTCTCCCGGGGCAAGTTCTCCAATCAGCAATGGCTTTAAAAATTTCCGTACAAAGGTGATGTCAGGATGAAAAGCCCGAAAGGCATCCTGGAACAGAGCAGGAAAAAAACCTTAATCATACTCATTATATAAAGAAATTTTATCTGCCTCTTTTTATTTTTACATTCATTTGGAATTTGCCCTACAGCCTCTAAAATCCAACAATTTATTTCCAAGCATAATGAGAGATGGTTACACTTTATTTTTTTAAAGTGAGCTGAAATGTAGGCAGGCAGTTGTGTGAACTCAATTTGCTGTGAAGTGAGAACTTGA